TTGCTGTTTGAGTTTGATTTGAGTTTGAAGTTTGATCAAACTCAAACCAAACCCAAATCAAACTTTCATGCCCTAGACATAGTGTTCTGAAATTGGGTTCAGTTCAGATTCAGTTGAATCTAAACCTGAACTTTAAATTTTGTAGATCTTTAAACTTGAACCCAAACTAAACTTAAAATTTATGAACCTAAACCAAACTTGAATTTGAAATATTTGTTCAGTCTGAGTTTGGTTTGAAATTTATAAACATGTTCAGGTTTGGGTAATAATTAAACTTAAAAATACTAGAGTAGCTGTGCAATATATGACCTTGTACAGAACTAGTACAATTATTTGCATGCTATAGATAAATTTTATTTTTATTAGTTGGTTTTACTGATTTTTTTAAAAAAAACTTATGCCAAATCCAAATCTAGTAAAAATAAATTATTAAATTGAAGGCTTGAAGTATAATTTACTTCTTATTTTTATGATAGTTCATTAATTGAAAATAGCAATTTTATTATTTAAAATTTTTTTTAATAAAAGCTTGCTATTTTGGTGACTATAGTATTGGTTAAGTTGAGGTAGTTGTATTGGAATTATCTTGTAATTTCTATGTAATTGAGTTGGTTTACATTAGAATCATAATTTTTATCTTGATTTACTGTATATTGTCATGATTGTAAATCGATCGTCGCTAGATTCTAACCGAATTGAGCAATCGATTGCATATTTGTTTGTAAATGTATATGCGGCGAATAGAAGAATTAATAGATTTAGTAGATTTGGGATATTTGGGATATTTGGGATATTGGGAATATTTGGGATATTCGGGACATTTAGCACATTTAGCATATATAGTATATACGGTATATTTAGTATATTTAGCATATAGTCGAATAGTATATAAAGGTAGAATTTACTATAATGTAAAATTAGATTAGGATATCTCGAGTTATTAATAAACCGTTTATCGGCCAAATTCACGCCTCTTTTGAGGGTGGTATTTTTTGAGTAATCACATTTGGTCCATCAACAAACCTTGAAGAGGTTGAGTCATCTGGACCCGACGTACCGAGTCCGAAGTACGGTAACGATTTTGGAAAATTGAAGTATACATAGTGGAAAATTGAAACACATACATAAAGACTAACGGCTATAAGGCTATTGGAACTTAAGAACTAATGACTATAAGACTATTGAAAATAGAGATTAACGGCTACAACTATTCACTTTAAAATTTTTTTTTGGAAACCGACGTATTAGAAACCGGACCAGCAACATTTTTTTTAAGCAACAAAGCGTTAAAGAACAAAAAAAAAAAAAAAAAAAAAATTATTAGCAATTACGTAACTTAAGTGTAATTTAAAGTTTGGAAAAGAGGATCACAAGCTTTAGAAGTGCAAAAATAAACTCTAGGGATTGACAATTAAACCACAAAGCATTAAGTAATCGTGACAAAAATCTGTTATAAGGATCGACTTTTGAACAATAGAACACAGACGTTATAAAATCAGAAAATTATAAAGACCAGCACATAAACGTTGGATTAGTAATCGCTTAAAGAACAAAGACACATTAGTATAACTAACAATACCAACACAACAAGTACATCTGAAAAATCGACACAAAGACCTCAAACAGAATAAAATTTTATTATCTTTTTCTGTGAATTTTTTTTTTTTTTAACCAAAATTCTCAAAAAAAAAAAAAAAAAAAATGTACGAAGTGTATCGGATTGACCAAGAGACCTTTAATCAAAAACCAAGAACTGGTCCCCAGAAAAAGAAAACCCAGTCACTATACGAGAAAAGAAGATCCAGAAAAATTGACGGCGATTATAGAGACTCAGGAAAGAATCAGAAAAGAAAGAGGAAGACTGGAGTTAATAGAAGGGACAAATACATAAAACGGTTGGAACTAAAATGCAATATGATACTAGCAACACTTACCCCGGACGAATTTGAAGAAGTTTAAGATATAGTTGATGAAGTTTTTGGACATCAACCTATCAATAACGCTCAACTTCCACAAGCCCTAGAGTTAACGCTGGAAATTTTAGAAGATTTTACAAGCAACAAAGAAGAAATAGAAGAAGCAAAGCTGATTATTTACCTATCTCCAAACAGAATCAGAGTCGAAAAAGAAACTAGGATTGAAACCGATGGCCATAAGGCATTCAATTATCATCAAATACCTGCCGATCCGAATGATTTCAATGGAACATACGATCTTGAATATTGTTCTCGACATGGATATAAAATAGAAAAGGATAAACATATAGCATTCAAGAATGCTAAATTAAATATTAACAATAATAGAACGCGTGACTATCAAGATAGAGTTGGATCAGGAAGAGAAGAGCATAAAGCATTCACTTACTATCAAAAATCTGGCAAGATAAATAATTTTGATGAAAATACTAGTGTTGAAGTAAAAACTCCAGATGGAATATTCCTCGTTGGACACTGCTATGATAAAGGAACTAAGGTCAAAATAGAAGAACGAAAGACGTTCACTCATTATCAAGAAGCTGCCGATTTGGATAATACTGACGAATTATACACCGCCGGGCACTGTTATCGATATGAAATTGAGCAATATAAAAAAAAATCAGCAGAAGAACGAATTGAAGCCGAAAAGGATACACACAAGGCACTTATTTATTGTCAAAAGTCAGCCATGGTGCGTATAGAACGGAGTGATGAAAATGAAAAGGAATTCGAAAAAGATGATCATAAAGCACCTATTTATTATCAAAATGTCACTGAACTGGATATAGCCGCCGAATATAACGAAAAGAGTGATTATGATGATCAAGGCAATGGAGCGATCGAAGATAATGAAATTATGAAAAAAGCAAAAAAGTTTAATACAAAAGTGAAAAATGTGCTGAACGAAATTGAAATTAAAGTACCAATACTTATCGAAGACAACGAATCTCTGAAAGCTAGATGTAATTCCTGAAAAGAGAAAGTCGAAAGGTTCAAAGTTAATAAAGAAAAATGTAAAGTAAGAAAAAACGAAAGTGGAATTGAGAAGAATCTCAAAAAGAATATGTATAAAGCGTTTATCCATTACCAAAAACCTGCTGCAATGAAATATGATGGTGGAACGAATAATGACGAACACTGCTACAAAAGAAGAATCGAAGCTAAAAAAGACAAAAATAAAGTATTTAATTGTTATCAAAATTCAGAAGATGTGGATAATAAGCTCAACGATAAAAAGATTGATACATCGGCATACGATTATGAAAGATTTACTGATATAAGCCACTCTAATGAAACGTATAATTACGGATATGATAGAAATAGATTCGAAGTTGAAAGAGAAATTAATGAAGGCTTGACACCTGATAACGATATTTCATTGAAGAATAAAGAATCTACATGTGAAAGATATTCGTATATTGGTTCTTGTTATGTAAAGAATGAACAAATGGCATTCCTTTGTCAAAAAGCTGCTAAGATGAAATATGACAGAGGAACATATACCATAGGACCTCGCTATGGAAAAGAAATTGGAGTCGAAAATGATGCAGGTATAGCATTCATTCATCAAACTGCTAAAAACCTATCTAAATTCGTGAAACGAATTATCACGAAGGGGAAAACTATTACGTTTAAAGATGAAATCAGTAATAAAAGGACTACTGAAGACAGACAAAAAGCATTCAAACGACATTCAAACTCTGCCGAAGTTAGCAATTCAGATAGGCAACATAATCTTGGAAGTTACTACAAGAAGGGAATTGTAGCTGAAAAGGATCAACATAAGACATTCACATCATCAAAAATCTGCAAGTATGGAAAATGCTAATGGAACATTGTATGTTGGATATTGCCATCAAAACAGGATTGAAATTGAAATAAACGAACACAATGCATTCGGTAATTACCAAGAGTCTGTTGACTTGAATTATGCTTGTAAATCTTGGATGGAAAGGGTGGATGAACCTAAAAGGATGATCAAGAACGACATAAGCAAAATGGAAAAGAACCTATACCTAAATGGTTCAAATGAGTTTCAACAACCTGCTGATATGAATCATAATCTTGATCACAGTTACAATAATGGAATTAGGATCGAATATGATAAAACCAAAGCATTCTTGAATAAGTTAGCATGTAGAATTAGTTCTTACACATTTGATCCTGGAAAACTGAGATTGTTCGTGGAATGAACAAATTAGGTGGAGGAAAATGTCATGATTGTAAATCGATCGTCGCTAGATTCTAACCGAATTGAGCAATTAATCGCATATTTGTTTGTAAATGTATATGCGGCGAATAGAAGAATTAGTAGATTTAGTAGATTTGGGATATTTGGGATATTTGGGATATTGGGAATATTTGGGATATTCGGGACATTTAGCACATTTAGCATATATAGTATATACGGTATATTTAGTATATTTAGCATATAGTCGAATAGTATATAAAGGTAGTATTTACTATAATGTAAAAGGGAGATTAGGATATCTCGAGTTATTAATAAACCGTTTATCGGCCAAATCCATGCCTCTTTTGAGGGTGGTATTTCACAATATATTTTGTTGTTATAAAACTTGCTATTTTGATAATGATAAGTAGCTTGTATTAGAATTATTGTAACTTCTTTTACAAATTACTATAAAAAATATTGTTACAAATCTATATATATCTACTGGTTTAATTTTTAGAGATCTTTTTTAATAAATAGTTACACAATATTTTGCTATTATATAATATGAAGACAACAAATGAAATATTCAATAAACCTAACTTTTTAGTCTTTATATGATATAAACAAGCAATAAATACTAATAAATCAACTACATTAATAGATAGAATTTTAGTGTACTACCAGTAGTATATTGTGCTACATGTTAACACTTTTCAAAAGCAATTATCTGTAATTTTAAAATTTTAATTATATTTTAAACAACTTTAAATAGTTTGTTAGATATTTGGCTTTGCAGACCATGATAGTTATTAGTTCTAAATAGCATTTCTGATTTTTTAGAATTTTTTTTAGGTTGGATATTTTAGTTTAAACTATTTTATATAGTATTTACTAGCTATTATAAAAATTTTTTTTTATTAATAAATTTATTTAAAAATTTATAAAAATTCTTAAAATAAGTTTGCTAATTTTAATTATAAAAATTTTTTTAATATTAGACTAATATATAAAAAATAATTTAACTTTAAAGTTTTTACTAATAAGTACTAACAAAAATTATATAAACTATATTAAAAAATAGATATGTTTTTTTTTAAAATTTAAAATAATATAACTTAAGATAAATTATTTAATATCTATTAAATTTTATAATTAAAATTAAATAGTTATTATTTACAACTTTTATTAAAAAATTTAAAAAATTTTATTTAATAAAAAAATTTTTTTAACTATAGCTAAAAATCAAAGAGTTTATATGAATTACTAAAAATAGTAATAATTTTTAAATATTGTAATACAAAGCTTATAATACAAGTTATATTTTTATTATATAACTAGTAATAATTTTTTGACTATAATAAGTTCTAAACCTTTTTATATAATTCAAATTTATTTTATAAAATTATTTAATAATTTTAAGAGTAAAATTGCTTTAAATAGTATACTACAGGTAGTACACTAAAATTTGCAGTTAAAAAATATTTTTATTTTAACAACTTTACTAATAATATTAAAAAAATTTTGCCAGATGAAACTATAGTATTTATTAGATTTTTATATATAAAAATATTTTGGATTTATAATTTATTAGATTTTTAATACATTTTAGTATATTGTACTACAGGTAGTACAAAAGATAAAATCCTATCCATTAAGCATAAAAGAAAGCATTAATACTAGTTGTTGAAGTATTCAGGTATATTTGGGTAGTAAACAATTGGTTTGCCATTTGAATGATCGAATATATAATAAGTAAGAGTGAATTCAGAAGTAGTTATTCAGAAAAACAGTCTTTTTAATCTACTAATTAAGTATATACTAATGCTCTTATTTTATTTATTTTATATATTCTAAATATTATATTTAGAGCTCTACAAAATCAAATCAAAATTTGAAATTTGAATCAAAGTTTGATTAAATATTTTCAAATATTCAAATTTTGATTTAATTTTATAAAATACTAGTTGATATAGAAGTATTTACAATATCATGATTGAATTGTTGTTCTAGAAATTTATAGCACAAGAGATAGGTATTGGAATTGAGATCTGCATGAATGGGTAATTTGAGTTTGTATAAAATTTAATTAAAGCTTAAAATAGTGATTGTATAAACAATATAATAATTAATAGTGATTTATAATAATAAATAACTTGAGGTTATGTTTGCTTAGTGAAATTACACTTTTAGTAAATAAACTATTGTTTGTGTGAATACAATATCAGTAGTAGTATTTAGTATAATACTCCAGTCTTTGCATAAATTAGCAAAGCAAGTACAAAATATTAATAAAAGTCAAGAAGTGTCAAGAAAAACTATGACAACAATATATAAATATTATTGTTTTATATTGTATTTTTAATAAAAGTTATAATAAGTTTTTTTTGTTTTTTAATATTAAAATTTATGTAATTTGATTGGTTAATTATTATAGTCAATTATGAGTAAACTGACAAAAATTAACCAATCATATGAAGATCTTTCTATAAGTTAAATTGATTTTTATATATGTATATCTAAATTTATATAATAATCTACATTATATATATTGTTTACTTGTTTATATTTTTTAACTAATTAAAACAAATGAAGGTGTTAGCAGAAAAATTGTTTTTAGTAAGTTTTTTTAAAACTTTAAATTGTTTGCAAATTGTGCTAAAAGGAAAATTAGTTATAAAACACTTTTAAATATAGGAAACAATACAAAGTAGTCTAAGTAAAAAGAAAGGACACCTAAAAATATATATACTTTGTTAGAACAGCAACAAAGTTTTTATTATAAGTGTTAGAACCTTTTTTTGGTTGAAGACATATTTTTTCTAAAAAACCACTTTTGAAAAACTTTTTTCTGTTTTTTTGGGGGGACACACCTAGACCCTGAATTGCAGATCACTATAAGACACATAATCAAATAAACAAACAAACAAACAAACAACACGCGTACAAACAAACAAACAAACAATTGATATTAAAGAAATCATCAAACTCTTCCCAACAATAATCTGGACCAGAAATTCCTATTGAAGAAAAACAAAAATCTTGTTAGAAAGTCGTGGCCTAACGTGTGGTTTGCCTAGAGATTAACAGTTTTTCTCTTCTGGGACTCCTTTATAAGCTGTGCGTTTGGCATGCAAGCCAAGAGCGTTGGTATACAAGATAACTGGCAGGAGGTGTGTGCCCTTGGATGCAAAATCTTGGTGGAGAGACTAGAGTCTTTTCCGTCAACAAAGCACTTAGGCTGTTACTTTGAAATGAGGAACACAGGGGAAACAACAAGTACTTGTCTTTCTTCAAGCCACACTCTTTTACTTGGCCAGGTGGTTCTTTTTTTTTCTTCTACTCGTCCTCCTGTCGGTCTTTCAAAAATTTCGACAAAAAGTGGAGATTTGGCTTACCCTCTCCAAACGATCAACATAGGTTACATAGTGTTTATACTCCCATATCTGGTTGACGTGGTAGATAGCAATCACGTGTCTGATAAGTGAACATGGTGCTACCAGTTTTGGCTCGGGGCCACTGGAAACTAAAAAGTTGGCGTAGAACGATGACAGTACCTGATTAGAAGAACCCGGGCGAAAACTTCCGGAGATAGTAGAGTTGAAGAGGAATTAATAGTATAGGTGAAGCCTTATATTAGAGATATGCAGAGTTGCTATAAGCATATAATTTTTATACTCACCTGGCATGGGTTATAATAGTGCATTTTTCCTTTTTCTCATCGGGATCGCTGACTTTTCTTTTTACTTTTTTTTTGCTGGTCCATTTATGATGAAATTATATTTAGGATAGTTTCTTTTTGTGGTTTTTGGTTTTAATTTTCCTTTCATTCTCCTAAATGTTTTTAGTTTTTTATAAATGTGGTATATATGAACTTGCTTATAGAAGAGTAGGAGATAGTTATTCTGCCTGAATTTTGGTAGAAAAAATTAGAAGAAAGGTTGGTGATCCTGACGAGGTATACAACAGCCAGTCCGTAATCGAGGAGGAGTACCCTTTGGGATACGAAATCATGAGTAAGTTCATGATCCCTAAGTAGACAAACAGTTGTTATAGCAGGTCGCATTGGGCATTTATGCTTGGTGAGTCTTTATTACGTTAGAGCAATAAGTTGTAAAAATTTTGTACACATGGGTGTAAAAATTATATAACAGTTCACATGAATAAAGGCAGGATCGCTTAATAAAAAAAAACAAACAAACAATTCATCACGTGTTCACTTATAGCAAAACAAAAGTGTATTCTAGAAATTTCAAAAAGATAATCACACAATATACACATAGTGCAGATATAATAGTCAAATATTGAACACATGGATCTAATGCTGATTAAAGATTTTGCCTCAGCATCACAAAGTAAACAACAAGAAATACTTGCAGAGCAAAGTAAATTTATATTAAATATAGATCGAAATGTAGCAAGATATCTTGGGTATTACAACCCAGCATTTATAACAACAATCTGCAGTGAAATCGAAACTTATAAATGGGTATTGTGTAAAGCTGATCAGGATAAAAAATTGTCAGTCGAGGAACAGGTGCTCACTAGTAAAGTAACTAAGATTACAACAAGTATAAAAAAAAAAAGACTTAAACTAAGTGAGGAGAAAAGATTAGAAATACTCTATACTTCAACAAAAATGGAACTTGATATAAAAGAAAAAGAACCAAATATCCAAGAAGAAACTTTAAAAAGAAAATGTGAAATAGCAAATAATGCAGAAGATTTAACTGCTAGAAAAAAAGAAGAAACAGTTTTATTAAGATTAGCAGAAATGAACCTTAATGAGAGTGAAATGAAAGTATTAAAAAATGATAACACAGAAGATGCAGAAACTAAAGCAACGTTAATTTATACTGAGTTCAGACAAGAAGATTATACAATACAAGAAGTAAAAGAATAGATAAGTATAGTTAAAAAAAAAGAAGAATTGAATGAAAAAGAGAGTAAAACAGAAGAGGATAATACTCTAAATAGAAGTGAAGATATAAACAAATCTATGTGGACACATAAGAATAGCTT